CTTCCCAGAAGAATGATGGAGTTTGTAAAAAGCAAAGGTGCTAGCACACATTGTTAATAAAAGATAATAACGAAATTTGTATTTCGTTTTTCCATAAGGAAAGTAGCCTGTCTTATAGTTTTGTCACGGGTCATCAGAGGTATTTCTACCGTAAACATTAAGAATCCACTAGTAGGGGAAATCCCTTCGTATATCCCTTCGTATAATAGTACCAATGCGTGTATGTTACGTACATCGCGTAGACGTGACTTCGCTCTGTAAGCGGTTAACCAATGGCAATGTAATTATATTTTTCATTATGATAGAAATTAAAGCGCTACGACGAAGTTCTAGAGATAAGTTCAATGTTTCCTCGATCGAATATATCGAGCCGAGGCGAATCGAATCGAGGGGTGAATCGGATAAAAAGAAAAATACTGGCAGTATTTGTTATGTCGTTATAAAAGTGAGCATGTTGACCGCCCATATTACTTCATACACCTTCCGTACACCTAATCCCATACATTTTCAACTGTTTCAAACAGTTGTTTGCTGCCAGCGTGTATTACGTAGAATTGAAGCGAACGCGCGCGAACGTACAGGGTGTATAAAAATTATGTGTAAAAAGCATTGTAGCGTGATTCTACACCTCTACCTCGGCGAAGATTTGATAAAATAAGGTCTGCGCAAAATTAACCGTGACCGTGCAATTGAAGAAGAAAGTTTGTTATTATGCCTTTACTCAAATTACTCAAATACTTTAGTATTTCTTTACAAAAGGGTACGTTTCGCCTATTTCAGTGGTCTTGAAATATATTGTCAAGGACAGCATTCTAAACAACTTCTCACTATGCATATAACTATTGAATAAAGGTCCTCAACGGTATGTCCCAAAATTATCAAAGTCGGTGTGGCGACCACGGTTCCAAATAATTATTATCAGACAGTTCTATTTACGTTCTACGCGATTCTCTTTTTTTTTGCACTTTTGGCTTTTTTGAACAATGATAACGCTCGACGTTTAACAAAAACAATGTGATGTCGATTCAAACATTCTGGTAAAACATTTGCGTTTGTGGGCTTAACAATTATTTCCAGAAAGTATATAAACATACAAATGCTCTAATATGCTACAATTCATATCGTTTTAGCTTCACGAGGTAAATATTTCGAAATCGAAACCAGTGAAATTTACAAATCGATAATCCGACTTAATTTTATAGCGCTCTTATCAAACTTTACCTTGATTATGTAGTTTCATCATCAAGCTACGTAGATGATATAACGTTATTCATTATCCGCGGTTTCACGTAACCACGATATGTCCTGGAACGTACAAGTATTATCCACGGATATGGCTACGATAGTACATACAGAACTTGACACGAACAAGAGCATATCAGCTTTGGGACCTATGCACACGAGCGACGTGATCCCGCTGGCACCGTAGCGATTGTTTTCAAGTAACAGTGAAACAAATACAGTGTAAATATATGCGTTGATCGGGAATAAAATACGTGAATATAGAGAAAATAATCAATAACTGTGTTTATTAACAATAAAACAAGTAACGTTTAAATATAAGAAATTGTATACTAACGACACACAACTAAGCACACACAACTTACTGGCATGAAGGCCAACGTACGACTCTGTCTACACAGATTCTCTTTCGGACATTCACACTTAAAAATCATTCTCTCCCCTACAATCATTTTTCTTCACTCGCACATTCCACGAACTGTCAAACACACCCCTTCAAATACGAACTGGAAATCTTGGGCCTGCGAAGTTGTACAAACCACTTTCCCTCGACCGTTATGCCTCTTTTATTTTCCTTCGCTCACATTCATTCTCGTATTCGCGTTTCTCAAAAATATCCTGAGTTAAAAATCCTAGATAGTCTACAAAGTTATCCTGTCTCATGAAAAAAAGGATAAAGGAACCTTACGTCTTTGTTCCTCCAAAATGGCACAGCGTCATCGCAGCGGGGTCGCATCGGGATCCCGTCGCTCGTGTGCACGGGCCCTAAAATTCATCCTCATTCATCTTTGTAAAGGAAACTTGTACAAAATCGTATCCCTGGGTAAAACCGTACATCATACTGATTTCTCAAACTAAATCAAAACATTCCACAATGTTTTTACAATCATTTCTTTGCCATATGGAAGTGTCCGTCAACAATTTTTTGTTATAGTGTTTCTATAATCAGCGAGTAAATTAGATTACAATACTTCAATACTTCAGACATTTTTATTGGTTATTTCCGTTTTTGTGTTTAATTATAAAGAAAGAAATCTGTTCACGCGTCCTGAGATACAACCGTATAAGGGGTAAACCCGTATGATATGACTGGTATCACTAGTAACTTTTTTTATTTTTCTTTCAAGAAATTTGCAAAATGTCACGTAACTATAAATATGGCGTGAGCTGTCTACAAAGAGATATTTAATAAAGACAGAAAATGTTGTTAGCATAAGCTTTATTCCATAATATTTACATACCTATTAGAAATGGGTGATTAAATAATGAAACAGTATATATTTTACAGTGTGACTTTATTATAACGGCTTTGAAAAACACGTCTAGCTCTTTCAAGTTCTCGAATGCGGATAACACGGAACACCCAAAAGTAAGTTGGGGTCTGCTTTTCTTTACAACACCGTTTATGGTCTTGCCTGGAGAAAAGTCTCTTGACTTTTCGCGACAAAATCCAGACATATCTGGTTGCCTTTTTATCGCCCTTGTTTAGACTAAAGATATATGAACGTTGGGCATTTTTGCTTTTGCTAGCTTAGCATTAGTAATAATTCAACAATACCCTTGAAGAATGATTACAGATGTTTTTGTGGAATATACTTAGATATAGCTGCATTGCAGCACATCACAATGGAGCATCAATACGTTTCGCGCTACCGAAAATTTCAGTCATATTTTGCTTATAAACTGCATTGGTTTTTAAATAAAATATTAAATTGTATTTATGTTTTTGATGATTTTTATATACTTTGATATAATATCTTTAAATTTTCGTTACTCTTTAACGTGTGCCGTTATCCGTGGCCACATGTCTCACAAAAAATATTCCCTCACAAAAATTGGTATGTACCAAATATGGTACACACGTGCTTAATGTGTTAATAAAAAAGTAGGTTATTGATTACCATAATTTAAGCCGTTCTGCTAATATTGAACAAAAAAATTCAATTGATTCTCAAATAGTATACATGTGGCAGTTGCAGGCATAAAAAGAAACAGAAATAAACCGAATATTTAAAAAATGACAGCGTTATGAAGATTGTTTGAAGTTTTGTTTTCCTTGCTCCTGTCTGTCTTTAAGTGACTGTAGAAATCAGAACAAATTCTATTTTAGTATGATACAGGTACCGAACAAATTTAAACTCGATCGGTACGATAGTTTTGGGGATATCGCCGCAATGAACCTGAAAAATATACTTTCTAGTTAAACTGATTTAAAATTTTAAAGGCTCTTGGCGCGGCTACAACCACACTATACAAAAGGAACTATAACTTCGTTATGTTTTCAAACATTATTCTGAAATTCGACATTTTTTAAGCACATTGGCTTAATTTTACCGTTACCGATTTTTTAAAACTTACTAAAAATTGGACAACCTTTATAATGGAAACCCAAATTAAATGCACTTTAACGTATCTCGAAATAGTTCTACATTGAA